CCGCCCCCTCGCGTGTCTCCTCGCCCCGCCGGATCGCCGAGCACTTCAGCCTCACGGTGACCCCGGACAAGGCCAGGGGCGCGCGCCCCCGCGGGCTGCGAGCGGGGGCCCGGCACCGCGGCGCCCTGCCTGAAGTACAACAGAAATTACGTGACCGAGGAACCCCACATACTTTATTTACATCTTATGTGCTTGCTTAAGTTTATACTATATGCGCATTTCTGCGTTCTCAGCCCTCGTCGCGAATGTTCCCCTCGGTGTCATCCAGCGCCATATTGCTTGAACCTCCTCCCTCTTCCTAGCCTTCTATCCTCCATCGAGGGCAGATTCGAGCCAGCCAGCGGCCGCGGTGAGGGACCACACCCTGCGCACCCTCTGTGGTGTCGAGCAAGTGCCACGCCTGCTATGCCCTGGACGACCGTCGTGCATGGCGGCCGCGGTGAGGGACCACCCGCTGCGCAGCCTCTATGGTGTCGAGAAAATGCCGCGCCTGCTATGCCCTGGACGACCGTCGCGCATAGCGGCCGCGGTGAGGGACCACCCCCTGCGCACCCCCTATGGCGTCGAGAAAGTGCCACGCTTGCTATGCCGTGGACGAGCGTCGTGCATAGCGGCCGCGCTGAGGGACCACCCTCTGCACGCCCCTTGTGGCGTCGAGAAAGTGCCATTCCTGCCGCGGTCTGCGAGCGTGTCACGGATAGAGGCCGCGCTGAGGGACCACCCTCTGCGCACACCTTTGTGGTGTCGAGAAAGTGCCACTCCCGCCACGATCTGCGAGCGTGTCACGGATAGAGGCCGCGCTGAGGGACCACCTTCTGCGCACCCCCTGTGGTGTCGAGAAAGTGCCACTCCTGCCACGATCTGCGAGCGTGTCACGGATAGAGGCCGCGCTGAGGGACCACCCTTTGCGCACCCCCTGTGGCGTCGAGAAAGTGCCACTCCTGCCACGATCTGCGAGCGTGTCACGGATAGAGGCCGCGCTGAGGGACCACCCTCTGCGCACCCCCTTGTGGTGTCGAGAAAGTGCCACTCCTGCCACGATCTGCGAGCGTGTCACGGATAGAGGCCGCGCTGAGGGACCACCCTCTGCGCACCTCCTGTGGTGTCGAGAAAGTGCCACTCCTGCCACGCCGTGCGTGCTTGTGTGTGTGTGTGAGTGTGTGTGTGGGTGCTATGCTATGCTGTGCTGTGCTGTGCTGCGGTGAGCTGTGCTGTGCTGTGCTGTGCTGAGCTGAGCTGAGCTGTGCTGAGCTGTGCTGAGCTGTGCTGTGCTGTGTGTGTGTGTGGGGGGGGAGGGGAGGTGTGTGTGTGTGTGTGTGTGTGTGTGTCTGTGCGTGTGAGGAGACGCGGGTGCGACGCGGCAGAGAAGAAAACGATAACCCCACGAAACATGTGGGGAATTAGTCTGGGACGATGTTTTCAACTATTGTTCCAACAACTATTTTTGAATACGTTTTTGGACTGAGTTGTACGTTTCGCCGAACATCCTCCTGTAGGGGGACATGCCCGACCTAACCCTGGTCCCACGCACACTCTCGCTGCACCCGCCCCGTCCCCGGGGGGAGGGGCTTGGGATCCGCAGGACCCAGAGTTAAGTCGGGCCTGTCCCTCTCATCACAGGAGGAAGATTGAAAATAGCCAGAAATATTATGGGGACGATTGCTTTCGTTTGGGATGTTTTTATTTGGTTCGCCCAAAAGCCGCCTGTTGGGGGACACGCCCGACCTAAAGCCAGAGTGTCGGTGGCGGCAATGAAGGGGGTGATGGCTCGGTGGGGGGATCTCATGGCGAGGGCCATGATATCTCCCCAGATTCCACGGCGCCTCTTCTCATTTAAGCACGGTTCCCCCCCCCCCCCCCCCTGGGGCCGCGCACATGCTGCCGGCCATGATTTGCGCGCCCCGTCTTGGTCGCACCACCTTTGGCCGCCCCCGAAAATAGTGGGATCCCGACCGCTCCGCCTCCCGTCCCCCCCGCTTTGGCCTCGTCCCTGCTTCCCCGTTTTTCCCCTCCGTGCTTGTGTCCCGTGCTGCATGCCGGTGCTTCTGCCGCAGCCTCCTCCCTCATGCTCCCCATACCGCTGCTCCCGTGCCTAGCTTCCTCCTCGTTCTCCTCCTCCTCCTCCTCCTCCTCCTCCTCCTCCTCCTCCTCCTCCTCCTCCCTCCTTTCCTCCTGAGGAGGAAGGGAGGGAGGGAGAGAGAGAGGTCCCGGGAAGAAGGAAGAGTACCTCCTCCCTCGTCGGTCAGGACTGGTGGAGTGTCATTGTATTGCTCCTTGCTCCGTGAATATGAACGGCTTCATGGATGATGATGATGCTGCTGATGATGATGATGATGATGATGATGATGATGATGATGATGATGACGATGATGATGATGATGATGATGATGATGGTGGTGGTGGTGGTGGTGTGATGATGATGATGACGAGGAGGAGGAGGAGGAGGAGGGAGGAGGAGGTGGTGGTGGTGGTTGTGGTGGAGGAGGAAGAGGATGCGTTGGAACGGCAGCGGGAGCGGGAGTGCAAGGGATGCGGAGCAGCAGGAGCAGGAGGGAAAGTGGACAGAAGGAGCGGGGAGGAGGGAAGGAGGAGCGGGGAGGAGGGAAGGAGAGGAGGAGGAGAAGGAGGAGGAGGAGGAGGAGGAGGAGGAGGAGGAGGAGGAGGAGGAGGAGGAGGTGGGGACCAGGTTGTTTGCGCCAGGTGCCAGAAGAGACCCACTGAGGTCTGCGGCACGCTGACTTCGTTCCCTTTGTTTGGCCCCGCCCCCCTCGGCCAGCCAGGCTGCCGAGGAAGTTTCAGGGCCAGTGGGGGTCACCAAGATGGAGGCCCAGCCATCCACCCTGGCCACCGACCCCATCTTTCGGTCGTCCGTGGGGTCCTGTGGTGTCGACGGTGTGGGTGCTGGCGGGCTCGGGCCTCCCAGAAATTCGAGGAAGCCTGTGTCCCCCCCTCGGAACAGTCAGGGTGTTGGGCACAAGGCCATTTTGAAGCTCACAAAGAAGCGGCTTCCCCCTGGCCTCAAAGAATGGCCCCGGGTAGTTTGTGAGCCCCGGTAGTCCCCCCAGCGCGTAGGGATTGAGATTGTCCGATGGGGCGCGCGCGCGCGCTGGAGGAGGAGGAGGAGGAGGAGGAGGAGGAGGAGGAGGAGGAGGAGGAGGCGGAGGAGGGAGGAGGAGGAGGAGGAGGAGGAGGAGGAGAGGAGGAAGAGAGGAGGAGGAGGAGAGAGGAGGAGGAGGAGGCGGAGGAGGAGGGAGGAGGAGGAGGAGGAGGTTAGAGGAGGAGGAGGAGGAGGAGGAGGAGGAGGAGGAGAAGGAGGAGGAGGAGGTAGAGGAGGTGGAGGAGGAGGTAGAGGAGGTGGAGGAGGAGGAGGAGGAGGAGGCGGAGGAGGAGCCAGGACGGAGGCGAGGACGAGGGCGAGGGCGAGAAGGATGCCGAGCTCCGCTGCGGCGCGGCGCCCTGCGCGCAGCGGCCGCCCAGCCGCTCGAGCCGGGCGGGCGGCGGCGCGCCCGCGGAGAGCCCGGCGCCCGGCACCGCGGTCCGCCTGCCAACGCCAGCTGGCCGGCGGCGCCGGCGCGGCGCCGCTGGCCCCGCAGCTCGGGCGTCGAGTGATGGGGGTGCGATACAGTTCAGGAGCGACAAAAGGACGTACACGTACATGAATCCACGCTGCTTTCGAGAGTACGCATTGCGCAAATGTTCGTATAACGCGGCCGGTCTCGCGTTTCAAGGGACCGTGTTCATGTACATAGCTGGGCGCGTACGTCCTTGTTGGGCTCCCTAACAGTGGGGGCGCGCATCAAGAAGCCATGTGCTTTTCGTCAGGGTATCCCGGGTTTCTTCGCCCCGCGCGCTGCTTGGCGACTTCCCGCGGCCACTGAAGGAGCTGCTGCGTTCAGGGTGCTCCGGGTTTTCCCTCCGGTGCGCCTCGCGAGCGGGTTTTAAGGGTTGGGTTTCTCGTGGGGGTTTCTTGCGGTGGCGCTCGCACTGTAAACCCAGACCATCTCCAAGCCCCTGTAAACCCAGATGCCCCTCGCGTCAAGACAAGAATCACGAGAATCACGACGGGATCTGTTTTTCCCGAGTTTCGGATTCCTGGAGCCCCTAGCGGACCTCGGGACCATCGAAAAGCGACTCGGCAAGAGAAACCGCTCCCGGGGAAGAGGTCCAGACCTTTGGTGGTCGACGTCATGAAAAAATCATGACGGCGGGAGTCTGGGAACCCAGACCCCCTCCAAGCCCCTGCCAACAGGGCGTTGGTGCACGGGGCGGTAGCCAAGGGGCCTTGTCAAGCGAGAAAGGGGGTGACTGGGCAGTTGCCTCGCACTAGTGCGTGCTGATTCGGGAAGGCAAAAACGTCGATAGATCATCATAACTCTGGGCTGGGGGGGGTTACCTCGCACTTGTGCGCGGCGCGGCGAATCATTTGTTTGAAAACAGCATTGAAACGCACCCTCATTTACCGGCCCGTTTACTCACGTCCCGCTTGCAGGGCTTGGAAGCCCAGACCCCTCGAGTCGTGAAATAATCACGAGAGTCGGTTTTTCTTTTCATTTTCGGCATCTGAGGGCCCTTCTACCAGGCTTGGCGGGCGTGGAGCATCGACTCGGGATGAGAAGTCAGTCCCGGGGAACGGGTCGAGACCTACGGGTGTCGACGCATTGCAAAAATCATGACGTCGGGGATTTGTGAATGAAGGGGTGAAGAATGTGCACCCCTCTTTGTTCCCCACAGGGGCCCGAAAGGGGCCTTCTGGGGGCCCGAAAGGGGCGCGAAAGGTGCACGTTGCTCTCCCCCCCCTACTTGTCGCCCCTTCCACCAATTCACGCCGACGAGGGTCAACCCAAGCGGGGGTCAGCCAGAGCGCAAGATCTGGCAGGATCCTGCAGAGCCAGGCCTGTACTGACCCAGGCTGGCGCGCGGGATCCCGCAGGATCCTGCGGGCTCCTGCAGGATGCCGCAAGGCCTGGCTGACCCCAGTTTGCAGTGACCCGGGCCTTCAGATCCCCGACCCGCAGCTGCGATGGCCGCGGCCGGCCAGGGCACGCCTGAGGAGGCGACGCCCTCCAGAGGAGGAAGGGGTGCCGATGCCGCTATCCCTCCCTCGCTTTCGCCTTCTTGGTCGTCCTGGGAAACCCGTGTCGCTACCGCTGGATTCGCCTGGAAAGGATAGTCAGAACGCACCCCTTGCCAAGAAGGTCAGAGGGGCGGGCGAGTCGAGGCAGCGGCAGTTTGCCTTCGGGGACGCCCTCGTCGTGGAGCCCAGGGGAACCACGCCAAGCCCCGCCGAATTTCGGATTTGGGGGGACTCCTCTGGACGGAGAGCTGAGGCTCCAGGGGCAGGCCGAGGGCCAGAGGGCACGCCCCCTCCGTGCCCGGAGGCAGGGGGTGGCGGATCCCGGTCGCGGACTGCACAGGGCGCCGACGGAAGGTGTTGCTTTCTTTCGGGCCGCTGGGGGGGCCCTCGCGGGACCTCGGGACGGTCGAGCAACGTCTCACGGTGCAGAAGCTGTCCCTTGGAAGGGCTCGAGGCCTTTCTAGGCCTCCTAGATGGGGTCCGAGCAGATGGGGTCGGAGGATCGCGCCGCATCGCCGATGCATCGACGATGCGGCTCGATGCGGAGCCCGATTTTCTCCACGCCGATGCATCGCCCACTTCGACGATGCATCGCCGGTGCATCACCGATGCATCGCCGATACATCGCCGATGCATCGCCGATGTATCGGCGATGCGGCGCCATCCTCCGACCCTATCTATCCCGACCCCATCTAGGAGGCCTCTAGCCTTTGGGGGTCGACGCCATGAGAAAATCATGACGTCGGGGGTCTGAATCCTTTCCTTGAGGAGGAGGGGGCGGAGGCGGGCCAACCAAGCAGCAAAGGCAGGGGGCGATCAGGGGCGACCTGACCGACCCCTGTAGCGAACCATCCTCCTTCCGTGACATCCTCCTCGCCTCGCCCCGAGGCGCAGGTATACGGCAGGAGGGGAGCCTGAAAGGCGAGGATGACGCTACGGAAGGGGATGGTCTGCTGGGGGTCGGTCAGACCGCGCCCGAGGCGAGGGCGAATCGTTCCGTCCCCACACCAACGCCACACCCGCCGGATGGCCACACCTCTGGCGGCCTGCCTGGCTGCACCGCCTGAGCCCCAAGGAGAGTCGGGGGCGGCAAAGAGGGGGGCGATGACTAGGGACTAGGGGAGGGGGGATATCATGGCGTGGGCCATGATATTTCCTCAGATTTCATGGCGTCTATTCTTCCTTCATTGCGTTCCTGCACCCCCCCCTCCCCTGGGCCGCGCACATGCCGCCGGCCATGATTTGCGCCCCCCTCTCTGGGCGCCCCCCCCTCGGCCGCCCCCCGCGAGAGGGAGCCGTGGGCGCAGCGAGAAGTGCGCGAGGCGGCGACCAGTTCGCAGGGGGGCCCCGAGCTTGCGTCTGTGCCGCCCGCGGAGGCCCGGACAACCGGCGCGGATGCCCGACCGCGCCCGCCGACCGAGAGGTCTGCCTCCCGTGCGCGGCCTCCTGCGGTTTTTTTTTTTTTTGTTTTTTGTGTGTTTTTTTTTTTTTTTTTTTTTGTTTTTTTTTGGGCCCCCGTGGACTCGGCCCGGCGTGGCCCACGGCACTTTTTTGGGGGGGGCCGCGGGCGCCAGGGTGTGCGAGGCTCGGGTCGGGCGAAAGGGGGGGTTTGGGAAAGGGGGGGTTACGAAATCTGCTGCATGCAGCTGGTTTCGGCCCCGCCGTCGGGCCCATTCCTCGATACATGGGCGCCTCCCGGCGCCGGGAGGCGCCGGGAAAATCAGCTACGTGAGCTGATTCTCAAACCCCCCCTTTGCTATCCCCCCCTTCCGCCCGACCCGAGAGGCGGTCAGGCGCCGGTCAAGCGGAGCTCACGACAGAGTGCGAGTGGGGCACCGAAGCAGGCTCCAAGGACCTCTCTGTGGTCTGCACCAAGTGCTCTTGGAATACTCCTGGCTGGGATGGCCCTGTTTTCACGCACATCGGATCTACGTTCTACTCGTATTGCTTATATTGAAACCGTATGGGGGGATGTTTTATTTTATAATTTTCCGCATGTTTGAGCACTCTTAGATATTTTTGAATTTTCAGCGCTCATGGCCCGGGTTATGATTTGCGCACCCCCACGCCCCTGAGGGTCGGGGGCCCCTCATTCGGTGCTGTGGCCACACCGCGTGGTATCTAATTAGGTCAGTGGGTTTTCGGGGTGGCCGCTCCGTTTGAGTCGGGCATGCCCCTCTGCAGGAGGGGTATTCAAAAATTGTCAGAAAATAGTATGAGTAGGATTTTTTCTAATAGTTGTTGGCCAGTTTGTAATATTGTTTGATTATTTTTATGTTTTGCCCACAATCCGCCTGTAGAGGGACAAGCCTGACCTACAATTAAGTCAGTTGGGATTCGGGTTGGCCGCTCGGTGCGAGAGTTGCATCCTTCTCCGAGGACGTCCTGTGCGACGGAGGCCTCCAGGCTCCCAAACACCATGCGGTGAGATTTGCATGGGGATTCCTCGGAATCGCTCGGACGTGTGCATTTTGTCCGGCGAGGCCAGCGCCACAAGATCTGGACCATCTTGGGGCACCGTGGGGAAATACGCGCACGAATCGGGGAGTGGACGTCCGAGCAGCGGCAGGATTCCAAGGTCGCCGCGCGATCTGTCACCGCACCGCCTTCCGAGCAGAGGCTCGACCAAACATTCACGGAGCCCCCCAAACATGATGATTTCCTCGGCAAGTCTACGAAGAAGCAAGTCGCACTCCGCACGGCGCAGTTCGAGGAAGGGATCACCCCTTCTGGGGGACCTCAGTCCTGCAGTCGATTCCCCTCTCGAGCCCTGGGCCCCCCCCAATGGGGGGGAGCGGGGGCGTCGAGTGCGCTGGCACAGGGGGGGGGGGGGGGGGCCCCCAAGGGCCTGCTGCCACGCCCGCTCATGCCGCCTCCCGCTGCCCCTGCCGCCTCTGCTCCGCCCCGCTCCTGCTGCGCCCTTCCCCCCCCCCCCCGCCCCTGCGCTGCCTCCTCCCCCCGCCCTGGCCTCCCCATCCTGGCTCTCCTCCTCCTCCTCCTCCCGCTCCTCCTCCTCTTCCTCCTCCTCCTCCTCCTCCTCCTCCTCCTCCTCCTCGTCGTCCGCTCCTCCCCCTCCCCCCCCTCTTGCGGTTCGTGGGCGTGGCCCCCCAGTTCTACCCCTCTTGCCTGCTGCTCTTCTTCTCCTTCTTCGTCTTCTTCTTCTTCTTCTTCTTCTTCTCGCCGCTGTGCTCTGAGCATCTGGGCACGTGGATCTAAGCCGTCCTCCAGCGACCACGCCAGGCGCGCCGATCTGCGTGCCTGTGACCGCCCAGAGCCCGCATTCTCGACCGCGCCCGAGTACCCGCATCCCAGACCCCGGACGTCGCGATTTTATTTCACAACGTCGACACCCAAGGGTCTGTCGGGGGCGGCAAAGAGGGGGGTGACGACTAGGGGGGGGATGGATATCATGGCGTGGGCCATGAGATCTCCCCAGGTTTCGTGGCGCCTCTCCTTGTTTCATTACGTCCCTGGCCCCCCCCCTGGGCCGCGCACATGCCGCCGGCCATGATTTGCGCCCCTCCCCTCTTGGCCGCCCCGACAAAGGTCTGGAAACCCCTTCCCTCGGGGCCGGTGCCTCGTCCTGCGGCCCCCCGAGGCCGAGCATATTGGAGAAGAACGCCCCGTCGTGAGTTTTGTTTTCCATGGCCTGCGGGGGTATGGGGAGCCCGCATCCCCTCCTCCTCCTCCTCCTCCTCCTCCTCCCCTCCTCCTACCTCCTCCTCCTCCTCCTCCTCCTCCTCCTATCCTCTTCCGTCCTCCTCCCCTCCTCCTCTCTCCTCCTCCTTCCTATTCTCTTCCTCCTCCTCCTCCTCCTCCTCCTATTCCTCTTCGTCCTCCTCCTCCTCCTCCTCCTCCTCCTCCTCCTCCTCCTCCTCCTCCTCCATCGCACCCGAATGCGCGCCTGTGTCCCCCCTGGTGCCTTGTCCTGTTGGGGGGGGGCGTCCAGGTGGAGCCGCTCGCAGCCGCCTCGGACGCGGGGCGCCTAGGTGTGTCAAAGATCCGCCCCTGGCTGCGTCGGGGGCCAGCCTTCATACTCTGCCCTGTCTGTCCTCGTGTTTCGTTTGTGCTCCTCCCTCCCATCAGCCCGAATCCTTGATCACGTGCCATTTTTATTACCTAACAGCGAAGACTGATAGGCTTCTAGTGGTGTCAAAAGAGAGAGCATCATGACTCCTCAGGGAGGTCGGGGCGGGACCCGGGGCGGCTGCCGCCGAAGCCCAAATCGCCTGGGACATCCTCGCAACATCGCTCTTGGCGCTGCTAGAACTCCATTCCCGGCGTACATTTTTGATGCCCAGAGCCAACTGTAGGCCACTTCGTGCTCTTCGACTTCCCAGAACTCCATTCCCAGCGTACATCTTGGATGCCCGGAGCCAACTGTAGGCCACTTCGTGGTCTTCGAGTTCCCAGAACACCACTCCCGGGCCACATGTTGGATGCCCGGAGCCAACTGTAGGCCACTTCGTGCTCTTCCACTTCCCAGAATTCCATTCCCGGGCCACATTTTGAATGCCCGGAGCCAACTGTAGGCCACTTCGTGGTCTTCGAGTTTCCAGAACACCACTCCCGGGCTACATTTTGAATGCCCGGAGCCAACTGTAGGCCACTTCGTGCTCTTCCACTTCCCAGAACTCCACTCCCGGGCCACATTTTGAATACCCGGAGCCAACTGTACGCCACTTCGTGTTCTTCCTTTTCCCAGACTTCCAAGACTCATCATCTTCATCATCATCATCGTCCCCGTAGCCTTCTTGGCTACAGCCCTGCTTTCGAAGATGTCCTTTCAAAGGAACTGCGCAGCGCCTACTGCGCACCTTTGCGAGGCCGAGGCTGCAGGCAGACTGAGGCTGAGGCTGAAGCAGGCTGAGGCTGAGGCTGAGGCAGGCTGAGGCTGAGGCTGAGGCAGGCTGATGCTGAGGCAGGCTGAGCTGAGGCTGAGGCTGATGCAGGCTGAGGCTGCTGAGGGCAGGCTGCTG